GAGACAAAAGAGATCACCTGAACAGATGAGTCTCTCAACTTACACAGTACAGAGGAAGGAGTGGAGTGGGAGAGCTCAGACTCGAGCGAGCCACTCTCCGAGTTTGCATTTTTCGTGGACTTGCCCGCTGAATTGATGGAAAGAAACACAACATATGAACAAACAAAGACGAAGAGGTAGAGTGTGATCAGAATCCTCAGCAGGCACTGGCAGCAGGAGCGGCCGCTGGGGCACGGCAAGGGTGGTGACCAGTGAGATGAAGAAGCAATGGAAGAGGAGGTGTGGTGGGTGGAAGATAACCTCTCCACGTCACCCTCCTTTGTGAGAGCTGTAGGAGGGTCAAGTAGATGTGAAGGAAGAAAAAAAGAGAAGGCCAAAACAAAAATAACTATAATTTAATTACAAGCAACAAGCACTTATAAAAATCTTTGCGCAAACAGTGTTAATGATGTACTTTTGGGAGGCAGTGTGGGTGCCAAAGAACGGCTGTAAAGGTTGTAGCCATAAATGACTCTGTTCAGATGCCAGTGCATTTATCCCTCTGTCCAGTACTGAGATATACAGGGTTTTGAAAGAGCTTTTAAAAAAAAGTTCTCAGAAATTTGAAGGTTATTCTTCAGGAAGGTGTGTTCCAAACGGGTGAGTTGAAATTTATTTCTTTCTACTGTTAAATAAAATAAAAACAACGGGTATAAAATGAAATAAATTAGCAAAAGATATGAAAATACATGCCTCCTGAATGGTTAACGTTTTCAAGAGATGTACCTTACAGATGTATTAAGTAGCACAGATTAGCCAGAGTTTACCTAGTCTGCAATTCCCTACAACTCACCCATTTTTCCCATCGGGAATCATCGTTCTTCCTAGTGCTTTCCTTAATTCATTTCCAGGGGCAAAAAAAAAAATACCACGAGGAATCTAGATGTCCTGACCATGACAAATGTAACAACTCAGCCTTATAAAAGTCTGTGTTCATGGCTGGCCAAAATAATGATGGTATTCTACAGCATTACTGAAAAAAACACATCAATGTCATATCAAAGAGCTGCTGCCAAAGAGTTCCAGTCTCATTACCCCAGGAAAGAGAAATCCCACAAGCAAACCCAGAGGAAGGCATTGCCTACAGTCCAGTTTTCAGTATGTTCTTTCTGTCCACTCCTGTCATATTAAGGAGGGATCACTGTCAGGCGGCTAAGCCCATGATCAATGGTTAACGTCAGAAATTTACGCTAGCAAGGAAGCTGAGCTACAGCTTCAAGTAATTTCAGACTCAAATTCTAGAATTAGCTTATTCCTTGAATTATTAAAGCTCACTGTTGTTTGCCAAGCACTGTTTCTAGTAAAAGAAATATGTTCCAGTCCTAAAAGATGTAAATGCATAGATAAGCACGGCAAAGTTGCAGACACTAAGATTTTCAACAAATAACGAATGAAAAGTAACCCTGATTTTACTGTTAAAATACCTGCCTTCAAAAGTAAAAACAGGGTGAGATCCTGACACGAGAGGAGAATGTTGTATGCATTCCCTGATAGATACGAGGTAAGAATCTATTCCTAAAGACACGTTTGTGATAGCTGATTTAAGACTTTTTTTTTTTTTTTTTAAATGAATCGCAACATCTGTAATACTTTGTACAGGCATGCGCGCGTGCGCACGCTCCCACAGGGCACACAAAACACAACTGGGCTGGAGATACCGTATCCCACGCAGACTCACACGATCCACCCAACTTTAACACAACTCTTTCAAGAGTCAAATCCATTAAAAAATAAGAAAACCACTTGATGCAGAGCTGAACGTTTTAAATACGTGTGGGCTGGCAGTCTGTACCGAGGAAGGAACCTTCTACCTGTTTGTGCGATCTACGCACGGCATTAGAATGGGGAACAACGCGCGTAGACTGCGTGCCCGGGCAGAGAAGAGTCATCCCCTGCGAGGTGCGGGTCACACCGCAATACCGTAGAAGATATTCTACTACTACTTTTCAGTTACAGAATGGCAGCCCCATTTCCCTTCTCCTTGGCAGGAAGGAGAGAGCCTCTTCCGCCTTGTGCTCCACGCTGCCAAGAAAAGCAAAAAGATCTTTTAAGGTCCTTTTATCACCTAAGGTGGGAAACACTCCCTCTAGATCTCAAGTGTGGTGACCAGCGTCGCCTCGAGCGTCCGCGTAAGGACCCAGACAATCAGTAATCCCAGAGAATTCTCTCTGCTGCCTCTGAAAGCCCTTCGTCCCCACCAGGATCTTACCTCCAGCTGCAGCCAGCAGCTGTTCCTGACAAGAGAACAGCTTTCTCACCCTTGTCCTAGGAAAAGCTACATCCAGAAGTCAAGTTTGACGGAAGGGCAAAAGAGCTTTCCTAAGTGCCTTGCTAAAGCACGAAGTTTGAGCTTATACCGGCTGTCAGGGTTGCGGGACTGCCTCTTCCCTGCATCATTCTAGAAATTAGACCCTCGGGGGACCGTTAGCTTTAATTTATAACAGAACAAGCTGAAAAGCAGCCTCTGGTAAAAGACTGGAAGTGTGAGAGGGAAAACAAGCAAGCTTGCGAGCAATTAATGACAGGGAGACTATACTTGTTTTTTAAATAAACAGAAATAAAAAAGCAAGCCCTATACACTGGAATACAACATGCGCCCTGTGTGTGGTGAAGCAGGGCCGCGGTACCGCCGTGTGTTAGGCCACGACCTGACGCTGGGAGAGGTCTGAGGGTATCGTGGTCATCCCAAGATGTCAGCCGTTCAACCTGTCATTCTCGGTGGGGAGGAAGCACCCCACCTTCCCACCAAAGCAGGTGAAGAGCAAGACGACACTACTCTGCCTCCTCTTCTGCAAGTAGGCTGAACATCTCCCAGCTCCTCCTGCTGCGGTCTCCGGAGGATACACAAGGCAACACTCTCTCTGGAGTGGAGCCTCAGCTCGTCTTACTGGCTTATCCGCTTTACGCCCTTTGTATCAATGGGTCTGGAACCTACAAATAACTTAAAACTTCATCTGCTCAACGTTTTCCACCTGTCGCTAAGCTACAGCGACGAGGGGGACGCAACGGGCATCTCGTCTCTGGGACCTGTGATGCCTGCCAGATCCTCTTTTCTGTGTTGGGAATAAAGTACGTCGTGGCCATCCGATCTGCTCTTAACCGTGGCACTACAGAATCGTACAAAAGAACTCAGCAAAACATTTTTGTTGTTGGTTTTTTCCCTTACGGTTGTATTCCTGAGATACGATTTTCTGCGCTAAGCTTCAGACAGAATTTTATAAAAATCCTACCGTTATAACATCATGTTCTATCATCGTGCATAGGCCCTATAATTAAATTATTCATTTAATGAGGTTAGTGGCTAAACTACACATAATGGTTTGAAGGAAGAAATACAAAGCGTTATGGATAAAGGTAAATAACACTCTATTTTCCTCTGCAATTGTTCTCCGAGCCATTACTTTGCACTCAGATCGCTACCGCTAGGTTGTTATTTAAAGTGAGTGGGTACTGGCTGTTAACGCAGCCAAGGCTTTGTTCAAGTGGAGGTGAAATGATTCACCGAAACTTTGAGAACAAAGCGCCAACAATCAGTGACTTAATCCGAGCTCAGCGCAGCTCACGCAGTATGGCAAGTCACAATTTACGGCTGCATTGCTACTGGCAGTGGATAGGAAAATGGAAAATCTCTTCACCGAGGGAACACCAACTATGTGAAAGCAGAGAAAATGACTCCAGCTGAGCTCCTCAGCCTTCCCAAAAAGCAGCGGGAAGAGCAGCAGCAGAAAGACGATGCCGGGCTCTGCCACGGTCTCGCTCGGCTCTCCTGTGCAAGCCTGAGCTACGCTGCCGTGACGTAAATACGTGATGAATCGCAACAGCAGCGTAATCTAAAATCCGCGTTTTCCACCACCGCGCCCCTGGGACAGCCGCTAGCGGGAGACGGCGCTTTCACGCCCACGCTGCCCACGCTTCGCCCTGGCAATACCGATGTTTTTATCCAACACGGGTAGCGCCTGATCTACCAGCCAGACACGACGCACTTGGGTACTGCTCGTACGGTGCTAACTCCTTCATGTCTGAATCTCTTCTAAATTCTAAGACTCTCCCAAGCCCTTCAGAGGCCAGAGAGGCCCTTTAGCAGACTCAAGGCTGTATTTCAGGGCACAACTTTGCTAACATACATTTTTAACTGTGACTTAGGCATTACACTATTTCCAACATAAAGCAAACCTCTTAGTACAGTGGTTCATTAAGAATTCTCTTTTCCATTCTCCACGTTTTTTTCTTTATCATCATCTCTGGCTTGCGTCTCACCTGTACGTATGACGTTGTTCTCTGAGGTTGAAAAGAGTCTTTTCTGTAAACCAGAGGTGCGCATACCTAACACTCTTTTTTTTTTTTAAAACCCTTTGTTTTAAAACACAATGTTATTAAAGTACGTATGAGGAACATCACGGTGTAATATTTTGAGGGGGAAAAATGGAAACAAAAACAATACCTGTGAAGTTACAGAACTGATTTAAAAAAAGAAGTGTTGATTTTCATTTTTTAAAGAATAGAAAAAAATTAAAATAAGTGTATGGACAGAACAAAAGAGATGCATGAAAAAACACTGGCATCTGAACAGAATAAAAATTACAATGGTGACTTAAAAAAAAAAGGCAAACCCAAAAGACAAATGCATGCTAAAAGTACATAAACTAAGTAAGAGTTACAAAGCACTCACACGCTTTTAATCTGCTACTGTTATCACTGAAACGAGCATTTTAGTGAATAAGCAGTAACTTTCTATTCTTCATTCCAAAACATCAAGGCAAATGGTGTTTTGGGAAATGAAAACTCAAAGCTAAATCCGAAACATGTCAGAAGTAACACAGAAGAGCATAAAAGTCATTTCTTTTAAACAAGGAAAAACAGTATTCTCTCTTAAGATTCATTAGGAGTTTCTGTGTTTAATGAAATACATTCACGAAACTCATGGTATTGCTCCTCCAAGCGTTTCAAGCTTAAAACCGTACCTTTCACATCCTCGTCTTCAATGGTTGTATTGGAGCTCTCTGTTGATTCCTGTTGAGAAGTAAATATAAGCAGAATGTATAAAACAAGTCAAGCCTTATCTGCGTGCCTCTGAAAATTAGTTAGTTACAGAGATCATGCAAAGCCTTGAAGCAGGGTGGGGTGTAATTCACAAACAAATGGTCACACACCGATTAAGACATTTCACCTGAAACTCATGTCAAATGGTGCCATTCTCTACAGTAGGGAACAGAAATACATTTCCTGCCGTCTAAAGCTCTTACTTCACAGGAATGTAAAGGAAATTTTTTTTTTCTTTAACATCCAACTGTACAAAGTCCATTTGAAATGTTATATGAGTTACCTCAGCCAAGTAGGAGAGCTTGCCATTTTAAGCTTAGTGATTAAACCAACTGTGTAAAATAAGTCATTCCATTTTGACTTTCAAATACGCAGACTTCTGCATGCTACAATGTACAACTGTTTTTCTGCTCATATGACTTATGCATCGTATATTAAAACAAAGTCTCCTAGTGATTTTAAGAATGTTGGATCGGATTCTGTCATTTTTATACTGAGGTTGTGATAAAAAATTTTGTGGAGATGGAGAATTGATAAATATACGATAATGACTTTGACAAACTATCTTTGTAGCTGTATTCTTCAGCCAACCAGTCATGTAGAGGAATGACTCATCTATCAGACAGTTTATACTTAAGCTGCCACACTGTTAAAGAGGCAAGGATACTGTATCTCAGTCTTTCAGGAATTACCAGAAATATGAAATATTACAGGCAAATTCAACAGGGCACTGTCAAATCTAATAGGTACACAGTTTTAGAAAGCTGGAAATTTTTTAAACTTTTTTTTTTTTTAAAAATCTGTGTACTTCCTTGAAAAGTAGAATCAATATATATCTTTTTAATTCACAGCTCAATAGCAAAAAGGATTAACTGGTCTATTTTTATCTGAGAGACAGAAAATAGGACTGGTATTGTATTTAGCTCTTAAAAGGATTTTACAATTAAATAATAAAAGGTAAATCTGACAGTGCCCTTTATTTACTCTGTCCTCACAAGGCTGAGCCGCAGGAGTGTTCAAAACGGTTAATGCACTACTAACACCTTAAAAAAACCAAAACGTATGTGCATCCATAAATGAAACCACATGAATTAATTCACACGCAAACAAAACTGAACGAGTCACCATGCTTTTCCTGAACCGGCTGGTGTTAGATGTTTCACTCTACGCAGATGTATCATGCTCTATCGCTTAAAATAATAGATAAAGTACTTAGAAGTAAACAACTCCCCACACACAAATACAAGTTGTAAACACCATGCACAAGCTCACACGGCAGACGTAGCCTGTAATACTGAAGCATCCACTCCGGTTGCCATACTACAACGATCAGTCTTTCAGACAAATTTCGGAGTAACTCTCCGCATTAAGTGGTTTGCTTGTCTGCTGCGACCTTTTGGGACATCGAGTATCTTAATTGCTATGATTATATAACAAAGTCAAGTAGATGTAGTCACGCCAATATTTTATCTGGGTTTTCTGGTCTTTAGCGGACTTCAGCGATAAAGATTAGACTAAGTGTTCAAACACAGGCTGTTTGTTGCCTAGCAATTTAAACTTGGGGAGCTGAAAAAGGCAGGAAGACGAAAAGGAAAGCTCCATGTTCGACAGACGCAAGGTACGTAAAGGAATGGGACATACAGGCACAATACACACCATCAGCACTTTCATGCTTGAGAAATGTCTGCATGCGTTATTTTTTCACTCAGACAATCCTTCTCATATGAAATAAGCACAAGTAGTTACGACTAGATAAGTGAAATGTCAATTCTTTAAGTTAACACTAAACGGTGAAATTTTTGTTGGAAGAGCAAATTCTTTCCAGGAAACCTAGGAACACGTGTTATACGGAAATGATGATATTTCCTGGCCCTCTTTCAAGTCCATGCATGAATAAAACAAAACAAAGCAAAACAAAACACGTTTTAGGGATCAGCTGCCAAACGCCAACATCACAATACACGAGAAAAAGAAAAGAGCATGAAGAAAACACCTAAAAATCAAACGACCTCTCTGTCCCTTGAAATGTTAAAATTTTTTTTGAAACTGCTCGGTGACGTTATGGAAGAAAACCAAAGTCCCGTGCAAAAGACACGTCACAACACAGTGTATGAGCATGCTGAGAAACAGCAGATGGGGTAAACTGAAACGGCGTCTTCATCTGAGGTGGCAACTGCGGGTAAAACTCATCAGTACCATCTCACCACACTCTGAGAAGAGCGTTCTTTGGTTTTTCCCAGGCTGCAGCATCTTTCGGCCCAAACCAGAGAGACGCCACGCGCCCCGAGCCCGGCTGCGCCGGCTGCCGAACTCTGCCGATCGCCACCGTCTCGCCCAAGAGCTTCAGAAGCTCAGCGCTCAGCGGGACGCACGCAGCAGATGAAGACACGAAAACGGGCTCAAGAGACACCGGGTGTAACAAATGCAGGAATGACATGTCCCTTGCTAAGTTCCCGGCATGGCTCTACGTTGCCGTGGGACAGTGGATGAAATGTGTGGTGTGGAAAGGCAAGATGGGAGTCGATTCTTTCTGAATACCTTATTTCCATCAGGGTTGTGGATTACTGTAGTTTGGGGCTCCTGAGCGAGAACAAAATAAAGAGAAAAAGAGTTCCCGTTGGTAAAGACATTCTCATTAGCGCGAGGGAGCGCAAGGAGAGCCAGCCCACAAACGCTGAGCGCTGACAAGAGCTACATCAGACAATAACTGTTGCCAGAGGGTGAAACGGGATGTCCCTCACCCAGATTTCCTCAGCAGCAAGCCAGCCCGAGAGACCATCTCGCCTGATGCAGCAGCATGCAGAGACCTTATTCATGACCAGCGTCCACAGGGCTTTGAAGCACTGGAGACCCGCAGAGGCTCTTTTGCGCACTAAATGCTTTGCTCCTTTTCCTGGCTGAGCCAGGCCAGACAGGGCGGCCAGAAATCGCCTCTTTAAGCATGTTTGCTTGTATTAGTATTAAGCCATCAAATAGAAACACAGGTGCATCGGTAGGGATCAAGGACGAGTTAGCTACCTTGGAACACTACCCTGTATTGGAAGACGTAGATTACTACCCGTTGCTGCCCTGGCAGAGCAGCATAAAAGAGAGTTCTTCGCGTCGTTCTGCAAGTGTAATCTCCCCAAATCCTTTTCCTTTAAAAAAAGCTTAAATAATCTTTGCAATGGCACATCGCCAGCATCCTTTCAGCACGGAGTACCGCGCGCGGCTACGTCTGGGAACAGACTGCCTTATACTCATGCACGAACCCTGTTAACTGATCCTTAGAAATTCCTTAGCAGTGTATGCCCCAGTGCCAGTCGCACACACAAAAATTCAAGAGGAAAAATCTCTCCTGATGTGAATTACCCACGTTTTCAAAGCTCTATGTGCGGGCACACGGGAAACGATACTCACAGAGTTAGGTACTTGGGCACTGGCATTTGCGAGCCCTGTGATACAGGTATGCCTAGGGAACAGGAGCTACTAATAAAAGCAAGACTGCAATAAGAAACATTTGTGAACGGCACTCTGATCAGTAACACGTTCCTAGCAGAGCTGATTAATGAGTAATGTCTCCTGCAGATTTAAACATTAAGAGGAACAAGCAAAAATGTTTAGCGCTAGATGCCTCTTGATCCCAGTGAAGACTTGCAAAGTCCTGCTGAGTTTTAGGAAATATGGAATGAGAATCTGAATAAGGTCTATTTTATGGTTGCCTAGCAATAATCCTGCTAGCTCTCCTCGATATCAATACTTATAGTAGGACAAAGCAAAGAAAATAACACAGCCTCTTTTTTTTTTTTTTTTTTTTGCAAAAGGTTAGCATTAAAAAGATGGAAACAGTCGTCAGGCAAGGAGCCAAGAGCAACATAAAGTGCATTCTACTCACTTTCTGGAACAGCATGCAAAAAATTCCACTACAGTTACAAATGCTACGACTCTACCGCATCCAGCTTCCATGTAACATTGTCTATTAATAAACACGCTCTAATGGACTTCCTCGCACCAAAAAAAAAAAAAAAAAGAGCAAGCATAATTCAAACAAAAAGTTTTTCCAAAACCTCTTTTTTTAGAAAGCAAACAGAGGAAACGCATGGAAAAAGAACCAAAAAAAGAAGGAAGAACAAACAGAAGACAGTCAAAAACTCCGAGATAGCATGAGAAGGAAGATTCCAGGTATACCAGCGCCGGGGTAGGAATATTTTCCTTGGGGCTGGTTACCACGTTCGTTTTGTTGTTTATCTGTAGGTATGCAGAAAACAGAAACAGACAGGCCTTAGAACTGGCGGTAGGCACCGTATCTATATCTCTCTGTATAGAACATCTATATACAGATATAGATATCTATATATAGATATAGATATGGAAATAAAGAATCACAGAAAGATGAACTTATGAACTTAAGACTGGCAATAGAGCCGATAGCTAGCCGCAACTCCTCCAGACACGCTGGCTACGGGCTTTCAGATGCGCTATACCACGGTCGATTCACGGTATAGATGATTCGGCTGTGACACTTAGAAGAACAGAGAGCCTTTCAGTAGCAGCTAATCACATATCAGAAGAATACAGAATTAACACGGGTTTGAAATAAGTCCTAAGTAGCCACTGCCCTTTTTTTGTCATGCAACGGTATTAAGTAATGGCACCCCGTTGTTCTTTATTTCTAATTACCTACTACTACCATAAATAGTATTTGATTATTCATAGCTCTCCAGAAATCTATAGATTTGTTCTGCTGGCTTCCGGGAACAGATTTGAACACATGTAACTGATTCCAGGTCTGATTAAATACAACTGATGATAGAAGAGACTGCTGCCCCTTTGGCTTTTTTTTTTTGGTTTTAATTTAGACAAAAATAACTGGCAGCTGTGATTTGCTGCAGTCTCAAAAATCCTGCAGTAATTGTGTATCAGCCTTTCAATTTTGGTACTATAACCTGAAAGTGTAAGGTTTCACACTACAGCGTCTGTAGTCTTACTCCACAGATCAGTACCTATCTGCTTAACTTTACATGTTAATTCTTAAGCTTAAGCACAGTAGCAGACCTTTACAAGACTTTTGGCTTTTACTTACACAAAATTTTAATTCAAATTAAACTGTTTAGCAGTAAGTTTAAAGGTATCTGATTCTTTAAATCCATTTTTAAGATTCAGCTTTCATAAATACCGTGGTACGAAAAGAACAGAAATACTAAAAATAATGTACCGAGCCACTTTTTCCATGCACTAAGAAGCAAGATTAATGTATAGTAAAACTAGTGCGAAAAATGTCATTTTTTTCCTTTAACAATAATTAGGAAAAAAAGTTTATGTACATTTTGGTCATGTCTAATTTTAACAAGAGCAGTCCAAAGCAGCATGCAGAACTGGGTGTATAGATATATATTGTCTGGAAAGATTTTGATCAAAAAAAAAAAAAAGTTCTACTGAACCTTCTAGTCACGGTACTTAGCAATAAATGTGCAAAACAAAGGAAAAAGGTCCCAAATTGTTTCATTAAGGGATTTTTATAAAATGTGATTAACTTCTTCATTTAAAGAAACAAACTCTAGCAATTTTGGGGACAACATTTGCTGTGTTTTCTTCTAAAAGAAGAGCCTTTCTACACCGATTAGAAAACGGCGATATGCGAAGTACCGTCTGTGAAAAGGCACAAGGAAGGAGGGAGTCCTAGGACAGCGGTCCCAACTGAGCTGCGGGTGGAACAGCCGACTTCTGACTTAAACTTCCCGACGACTCCGCGGTCTCAGATGAAGCCTTCAGCTTCCCAGACACTTAGGCTTTGCCTGCTCCAAGGCTTTGCTAAATTCCAGGCTTCACAAGCTAACGCCGCTGGGGAAAGTCACAGAACTTCATGTCCTCAGCAGTGTTTGATGATTTTACTTTGGTACAGGTGTGGCGGCTGACTCGTTGTTTGCAGGCATTAAGCCTGCAGCTGAACCGAATCTGACTTAGGATATGTTTAGATTACAGAAATGTCAACAAGATTTGCATTAATTAATTACAGACTGCAAATTTCATTACCTTAACCAGCATTTAACTGGCTTTGAAAAATATACGGTAGTGTCCTTAGTTAATGTCAGAGAAAATGATTTTGATACTAAATGTTATTTAGTAGTATCTGTGACAGGAACCATTCTCCCGTACAGAACAAAAATAATTTCATTTGATTTAAAAATCAAAGTTCACCATGCTCTACAGCAGGAGGATGAGAAACACTTATTTTTTTTAAACACTGGTCTTTCTCCAGAAATTGTCATTAAGAGAAAGTACGAGTCCTTATTGAGTTCCAAGTGTTTAGATTATGCCCCAACTTGGCCTAGTTATTGTCAAAGAAATTTCATTTATCTATTCACAGTTACAGCTGTAAGTTGCAGGGGTGTCTGAAGAGGGAGAGCATAAATACCTTTGTGCATAAAGTCATTCACGGGGAGACAGAATTATTTTATATATCAACTAACTTGCTTTGATATTTATGGGATTGAAAGATGGACAAAACCTGAACTCCTTACTCAGGAAAAAACTTCAAAAACCAAAAAAACCCACCACTTCAGTAAATGAAAGTTCTACAGAAGAACTGTGGAATAGTGAGAACACGTACAACACCGCTTGACGGCACACTAAATCTTCCAAAACAAGAGAAAAATCACATATCAAGTTGTATAGCTGCAAGTCCATATTTTTACGACAGCATAGTCATCAAGAGACTACGAATAAAAAGGCCCTGACAAAAGGCAGATAGGCATGTAACAAAAACACGAGGAAAGAAATGAAGATTTCACCAGATTTCATACAGTCCTATTCAGTAGTAGCTTAATCCAAAAAATAAAGTGATATGCCAAAGGAATGCTTGTTGTTGAATACATCATGAAAACAGGTTAATCAAATTTCAGTTCCAATTTTGCCTGAGTAAGGAGAGCAGGCTTGGGGTCCATACTCCCTTGGTGAAACTCCTATAAAAATAAACAAGATCCATTACAGCTACTGCTGAAAACTGCAGGAAATATATTCAAAATTTCTTAGTAAGGTATCGAGAATACAGCAGTCATTAGTTAAAGCAGAAAGAGAGCGCATAATTCAAAATACAGTTATTTCTTCTGTGTAAACTTGGTAAAATCCTTTGAAACTTAGAGAGAGGACAGCAATACGCCAGTATACTTTCTCTCTCTCACAGAACGTATATATGTGCTTTTATTAAGATATGAACACCCACGGTGTATTTTGCATATATTTCTAACAGCAAAGGGAAACGATTCCCAAAGGAGTAAAATATTTTCATATGCAACAGCTATTCTGAAGTTGAATTATGCTTAAGCGGTGACCTTCTATTTGTTGGGAAGAAACAATTGTTGTTTGTCAAAAGCCACTCTCTTAGGTCTGACGCTAGTGCAGCACAGACACAGGTAAACGCTCCAAACAGCCGGGCATGGCTGCAGAATCGTTCCCGGTCTTTTTTCAATATATTATAATTTTAAGAAAGCAAACGTGTTATCTTGGGACTTAACCTTCCACGTGGTACTTCTGTAACAAAAAGTTGAAGCACACTTCAAGTTTGGGATACTAGGAGTATCCCCACCGTACCTTTCTGGTGACCCTCATCTGGACGCTGCCAACACCGACCCTCTGTCACTGCGATTCTGCACTCACTCATAGAACAGACTATTTACCTGTGGAACTACATGTCTGCTCGGACCTGACCAGCAATTTTTGCTTCCCGGGGAGCGCTGTGCTTCCCCGCGCAAGGCGCGGATGAGGGATTTGCTTTCGCTCTCCCGGCAGCAGCAACAGAAGCTGGCTGGGACGTCACAGCTGATCATCACGAGCATCTCAGAAGTCAGATTAAAAACCGTAATAAACAGGAATATAGTAAGTTGCTGTGTGGCATCACAGAGGCCAGATGAATGCAAGACTGCAGAGCAGGCTGAGGAGGAAGAAAAGTTATTGTCAGTTGGGACATCTTGTGACGAAGCCCTGAGCTGTGAAGGACATTAGCTGGGAAACTGGAGCATGGGAAGGCTGTGAAATTGTTTTTTTTTTTTTTTTTTTCCACTCCTGAGCATTTAGCATGGCATCTTGGTCTACAGCGGCTCAATTAAAGCAATATGATTTCACTGTGCAGAGCAATGTGGTTTGTGTTACATTTTATGGTATTAATACTATTAGCTTTTAAAATAAGGAGGTTTTAAACATTAATAGAAGGCTGTTCTAAGATTACCGTTTTGTTACTATTTTATTTACTACGGGCAGATGCATTGGCCAATGTTACATCTACTTTTATGTTTTCGTATGTCCCCAGGTTAAAAAAAAAAAAAAAAAAAAAAAAAGAAAAAAAACTTGCTTGAAAGAACTGCAGAACAATTCACTCCGGATGGCTTATAGCAACTGCAGGCTTAAAGTTCGCAAGGTCGTACTTTAAAGTCTTGCAGCTTCTCACAGTATGTTAACAAAACTAAATGCAAGTGTTTGACTTCTGAGTGTGAACATTTCACAGGAGGAAAAAATCTGTCAATAAAGATCCTCACCATCATCTGAACACTCGAACTGGACTTCCTTTTCTGAATTGACCAGTCAGAGAGAAAGGAAAAGAAGAAAATGTGACTGGTTGGATTTGAAGTATCAATGCATGGAGTACAGTATATTTCTGTTTTGGCTTTTTTTTTTTTGTTGTTAAGAAAGACAGCTTAAGCTGTAGGAAGGGGGAAGGGGAAATCTATGGAGTATATAGTATCTCAAAACAGAAATGACAAAAATAGACTTTCCCCAGATGTAAATTTACTCCCTTTGCTCCACATGACCATGCAGACAAACAGCAGACACATAAATGTGCTGAAAATCAAAGTATCAAATCCCAACCAAGTGTAATTTAGGCAAAATTTTGGCAACAATTGTTTCCGGTATTATAAAAATTGAGATATAACAAATACCATCATAGACCTGTAGGAGGAACGATATTTCGAAAGAAAAAGCCGGTCAGATAGAGTGCATAAAATTTATATATTCCACAATGAAACATGTTAAGGGCTTTCCACAGGAATGACAAAATAGTACTGACTGTGTGCTTCTCCACATAACTGTGATATCTACTACTTGACAGTGAGAAGCACTGAAATCGTAGTGTACTCACTTCATTTTAAGTCAGTCTCATGATTTTTTTAAATAGAAGTGTGCACATGTGGGAGAACAAGGGACAAATATACTATGAATCTGGTATTTAAGTATACAACGGTTTGGTAAAGTAAAAAGTTAAGATAAATAGAAAATTAAAATTCAGATCAAAGACACACTTCTGAGCAAACACACAGAGCACAGAAGGATATCTTTTGAATCATATAATGAAAGCTTGAGGCACTTATTTTAGTCTTCAGGAGTCCTGCGAGAAAAGAAATAAAATATTGTTCATTGCTGAGTGATATATTTTTTTTTCTGGCTGTTCTTCAAAGTATTTATCCAGAATGTTCATTTGTGAAGCATCTCTCCTCCTGCAGGATCTGGTGACATGAGAACAGGAGCTCTAAATCATGTATGAAAGCTGCCAAAATGTTCCCTTCTTAGCAAGGTCTATTAGTCAGGATGAGCCGATTTGTTGAGATAGTAAACCCCTCAAGTTCTGCCAAATATAGCAAGTACATCTGGCAGAATACACCTCATGTGGAGCCAAGCCTACTGGTGAACTTTTGGTCTTCCATGAAACCTAATGAAAAGTCAAGGGGAAACACGGAGGCCACAGAGCTGCAGATGCACACTAAAAAGCTATCATGCCCACCACCAAGCCATCATTTATATTTACAAGCTAGTTACTAACATTGTGCTATCAATTACACAATCATCCTTCATTAAAATAGTAAGAAAAGCACTTTCTCCAGTTGTTTTCTATCTTCCACTAAAATGCTTGTTTTTCAAATATTTCTTTTATTTCATTTTTAAGCTTTACCTAACCTTAATCGCTTGAAATATACAGTTAAGAAGCACTTATTAACAAATTCTATAAAGGAGAGAAATAACAATAATCGATTCTAAAAACTGGCAAAAGTTACAGATAGGCAGTGGATAATAAAAATGTATTTTAGAGCACGTTTTTAACCTACCTTAACTCCATCCGGTTTTTTCAGTAAACTCTTGGCTGCTGTAAAACGAGACAAATAATTTCAGTGTCGGGTGGCTACCACTGAGGTCACCCGGCTACGCAGCAAACCCCCATTGCCTCCCAGCTGCAGACAGGTTTTCAGCTTTTATTTCCTCCTTGTGTTGCTCCGAGCATAGGAAATAAAATATTTAAGAAAGTAGAAATACTTAAGATTACGATACGTCTCTTTTCCCATTGATTCAAGCTGTAGGTTAACTGTGCTTATAGAAGGAGAGACCTCCTTGGGTGGCACAGAGGCCGCGGAAGCAGGGCGAGTGTAAAAGCTGCAGCCCCGGATACGTTCATTTTTTTCAGCTGTGGTATTTTTTACAATTGTTGACGGGGACAGTTTGATACGACAACAAAAAAATGCTGTTCTGATGGCAGGGACTTGGATCGGGCGTTTGCAGAGCGCACTGGTATCTTAATGACGTTATTCATACGGTGGCGACGTAAAAGTAACCAGGATCGGATCAACAAGGTACCTGGAGAGCACAGTGAGGTACCACGCTACCTGTTCCACCTAAGGAAAAGTAAACTGGGTTTTAAAAAAGCACCTCTGCGCAAAGGTTCTTTGGGGATCTCCCCCCGTGAGAGCACCAGCCACCTCGCGTGAAAGGCCGAATACGGACGGAGGAGCGACCTGCTAGCGAGGGGCTGCTCTGGAGGAGCGCTTCCTAGGAGCCCGTAGGAACAAACGGTGGGCTTTGCTCCAGCTTCTAACGAGGAAAACCTGCTCTGTCCTGAATCGTGTTGCCCACCGACCAAACTCCTTCGCAGCGGTGAGAACTGCTGGGGGAAATTCGGCTTGCCAGGACGTTACCCCTGTGTTAGGCTTGCAGTTCCACCGCTTCACACTGCCTCCGAGAACGGGGCCAAATCACCCCAGATTACTGAATTTGGAGGGCTAACGTGCAAACAAGGACCTGGCACTGACAAACGTCACCACGTGACGGGTGAGCTATTCAACTGAATATTCACTAAATACAACTGAATTCAGTATTCATATATATAATACATATGTATGTTCATACATACAGTAATTCAACTGAACTAGTCACTAAAGCGCACAAGCTTCACGACTCACTGCCAAAGACCTGAAGAGTAATAAATTACAAAGCAAGCCTGGCGTTTTTTTGTTTTTATTGTTGTTTATGACCCAATCTTCCTATCAGAGAATGTATCACTGCTTAGGTTGTAAGAAAGCGTTGTTCTATATACGCTGTTTTGCTTAGAAGTAGGAAGCCTTTTAGAAAGGCTTCACCTTCACCTGGCACAACCAAAGGGAGACGGTCCTGACGTGGAGCTCCCATCATTACTGGCATCTTTCTCTTTAATGCAAAAAAACCCCAAACAATTGGACCTTGCAAGCCTGAGGTTGCTCAAACGAGCTGAGGATATTGGAGTTACTGAGTATGCGGTCTAAACTTGAAGTTGATTTTTGTCTTTGTGGCTTATTCTCTGGCTACACCTGCATTAAGCGCTCATTCAGCTCTGGTTCTGTTCTTTCTTAAGAGAAAACGTAAGACCACCTTGGAAACTGTACAGAAATAACTGATGTCCTTTATTGTGTTCTTTACATGAAAAAAAAAAGGAAAGGGAAGCCAGGTTTATGTTTGTAATTTCACTAATGTATCAGCCCTCCAAACGCAGTTTATTCATCATGGACCTCAGCCAACGCTACCATTCGAACTCTCACAAGGTTCATGATTTACAACAAAAATGAACAAGAAGAGATCCACCTGCATTACGTAACAGGACCACTGCATGTTTTTACGTACAGAAACATGTACGTTAATATCGGGAAGAAATTATTTTACATGTATTTTTAAGATGATGTGCAATCATCCTGTTGCAATGTGTGCTTAGGGGCCTTGATGAAACATGGCCTTAGATTTTACGCCACCGCAAATATTGTGGGCGCTCCATTAACTTCCGAAATTCATTCAGGGAAAGCGAAAGGGAGGAGCTGTTTCTAAAACCTAAGACAAAAAAACCCAGAAGTTCATTGCTTTCGAAGCCTGCTTTATACTGTTAGCCCTTATAAAACCATGGGAAAACGTAATGAATTCTTACAGGCTGCTGTTCATCACAAACTAGGTCCTTTTGCTGAATTTGTCCATAACATTCCTGAGTTCTTTTAATGCCTAATAAGTATTACATGTTATATGTAAACAATTAAATGAAAGCCAGTGAAATGAGGGCACCAAAAGCAGTAACGACGAGTATTGTGTTTATGGCATTGCCAGCGTGTCCTTCAAAATGTGCCTAGTATGGATTATTATGCAGTATTTTATGTTATAGGACATATTCCACACTCAACTGCCTTTGTTGGTTTTGGCTTGGAACATATTTTTAATAATATTTTAATGCATCTTTCTTTAAGCACAGATACTGCATACAAATCAAACAGTTAAAGAATTTGCAGTAGCAAAGCAATTAGCGTGTTCTAAATTAAGCCCACAATGAAAGGTTTCTTGCAACTAGAAGCAGTAGCTATAAATAAAACCTACGGCAGCGCTAACAGGCCAGAAAGCAGACTGAAAAGAAATGGTGTTGTGACAACATGTAGAAATTAAAGTGGTTTAGGACAAACAGCAATTTTGATTTAGAAGAGAAAAAAGATGTTCCTTTCACGTGCTGAGGGTCTTACCTCACAAGAAATATACATTCCACATAAAAGGAAGAAAGAAAAAGGAAAATAAAACACTTTTACAACCACATCGTTATGGACTAATGACCTTCAAAAGCATGCTTTGCAATGAAATACAATGAATAAACAACTTGAAAAAAAAAATGTCATCAAGGAAAAATATGGATCATTATGGTGTAAAACAGAGATGACAGGTGAAAAAAATCCAAAACAAAGCCAAAAACCTCGTTTGCTTTTCATGCCGAAATGCTATTTTAATATTACTTCATCTTTTCTTTGGTTCATGAAAGTTGAAATTAACCCTTACATATACAGACAGTGACAGTTATGAGAAGTGATAAGAAATGATGTATTTGTTTGATATTTAGTAATAGCTCATTTTTACAAGATATGCAGCCAAGATATTTCAGAAGATGTAATTTTACAACAATATGCAGTTAATGTTAAGCATTAACCCGATGTAATTTACATAAATGTAGCCTTCTGTCTTATCGGCACATATTAAATACAGGAACCTAACTAAGAACGAAATTGTGTTTCAAGTACTATGCAAACTGCACAAGTTATTCTTGCATTCACGATTATGTAATTTATTTTGGATGATTCAGTGCTTATTATTATTCAAAGCATGCCCAAAGCATGTTTTTGTCCGTACATTAATTTGCATTACGCTCCAATAGTTACATTGCAGAGGAGGAGGATATGTACAATCACTCATTTTTAAATTTGGCCTTCTTTTTCACTAGTCACTTGAAATCTCAAATGGTAAAATGAAAAATTCAGCATAGCATCAAAGTTTTGGCAATACTGCTACCGAGGACAATTCTAACACTACTAACAGCAAACTTACTTTAGCTTTTGCTATTTGTGTAGTATAAAGATCTAAATCTCCAGGGATATCACTATGAAATTATTTCATAAAAAGGAAACATCTCTTGTTACATCAAGCTAGGCATTAGAAGAGAAGGAAAAGGAGGACTCATTTTACCATGTTTCTTACTCCTTAGCAAAGCAATAAAGAATGAATGTGCCTTTTTCCCGCCCCCCCCTCAATACAAGATGCAGCAGAAGCCTGGAATGAGATTTCAGGTATATAAAAATAAGTTTTTAAATGTTGTTTGGTGATACTTGTACATGTGGAGTTATATGCATTATTTTTGATTTTCCCCCACCAAAGGAGGAACTTACACTCTACTAAAAAATTAGACTGTCATCTACAAGAGATTCTATTTGGCCCCCATAGTTTAAATTCTCTCGTTTGCTTCTGCAAAGGAAATTCCTTAAAATACACCATGATTAGATGTTTCTGAACAACAAAGATCTTTCTATACTAACAAATCCTAATTAGATCTTAGTCGTCACAGACATCAAAAAATAAAATCCACATTAATCTGGAGCTCAATGAACATACCTGAGAAATTTCTGGTAGCCAGCATAGTTGTCAAAATGGCCCCCTGTGTACACATACATTTTTTCGAATTAGCATCAAACTTGTGTGAAATTCTGAATGTCAATATGACACAACAAAAAGGAAAACACACATGTAAGTTACATCAATTACTAAATTAATCCTGAAAGAATGGATTGTCTGTGTATTATCTATCATATGTGATGCCATGAGTGCATAAACTGTAATTTAATTTTAATTACACACCTATCAGCAATACTGATAATCTCAAATATTTACTGATTGTGAATACATAATGCACAAGCCACAAGTACTCACAGGCACGGTAACTGTCAGCAAAATACATAGCTGAATATGAAACAGACTTTACAAATGTGATTACTTCTTTTTTAGTTTATTTGTAATGTGCTAATTAGAAAAGTTCACATCTGCAAAGTTATCCTGTCTGGTCAGGAGAAAACAAAGAATAATCTAAAAGAATAACCTCAAGGATTTTCCTGCAATGAAATATTGTTAATGTGTATAAATGCAGGTAATTGTTGTTATTTTTAATCCAACCAAATTATGCTATGTTCCGTTCACTTTTGTGAAAAGTTTAAGATCCTCATGCTCAAAAGCTGATCATCTATCTAATAATCCTTTTCAGCATAATATTCAAGAAAAATCTGCTTAGGTAGGGACCATTTGTTTTACACGTGGAACAAAAGCCAACATACTTAATCTTTCCAAAATTAGCTACTCATCCTTGCAGAAGTTTTCATTCTTACCTTTAGTTTTCTTCTTGCATTGAATTTCTTCAAGCAATCTACAGTCTCTTGTCTGTGCATCATAGAAGCAACTGTAGAACGTTGCTACGGGAAGAAGGAAAGAATCATTTTAACGCGCCCAGACGGACACCTAACATTTTATTTATTCGTCAACATACATACTACAACCCACATGGTCCAAAACTCAGGCCTTTAATTTCCACCCTGTCCGACTACCCCTTTATGCAGTTTTCTACATATTTTGGAAGCTGCCAAGTCAACAAAACCAAGGTCTCATTTTACACAGCCTTTCCCATATGTAAAGCCCTCTTGAAAGAAACAGGGACTAAGAAATACACAAAATCTTAGAACTTTGGTTACACAACATAAACATAATCCAAGTAGCATACCTAATTATGATTTTGAAAAATATGTTCTAAAACACGAAGGAAAGTTTTCTTTAGCATTGGTGATATGAGGTGAGGTACAGCAGGAGGAGGTATTTCAGAGAAAATTCCGTGGTACCTGCATCTTCCCTGTAACTCAACATAATTTGCATCACAATTTTCAAGGCAAGATAATGCAGCCTACTAGAATGAAGAAAGAGTTGGGAACCAGCTATATGTCTCGCTGTGACTTTCCAGGTATCAGCCCAGACTACCTGCAAAGTCAGAGTGTGGAACGTACCGAGAATTGGAAAATAGTCCTGGATCCGGTAACAGATAGGCAGCCTCTGCTACCTGCAAACTGACTCTTAAAAAAAGTCCCTTAAATTCCTGCCTTCACATTTCACGCTTATCACAATGGTTCTAGGGAAATGAAGATGTAAAGCATTATCTAACTGAAGATTACTTTCTTGTACATTTTTTTTCTCTCTGATAATTTAAAATAACGCTCTAATTTTGGAACTTCTGCACCACAAAGTCACGGCAAAGGAGTTGGTTTCTGCAAAAATCTTATCCCAGGCTGAGACCTCAATATACGACACTATTGACTGTACCTGTACAATTGCAATTTTACACTCCCCTCATTACACAGCTGCATGAGCAGGACAAAAATTATCCTCTGAACACCTTCACTATATGCAGAAGTAAAGCACGAGCTGATCTGTCTACCAAATTAGTCCGTTAAATCAGTGGAAATTACTTACACAGATCCATGGATGCTTTAGTGCTTCTGATGCTGTGATACGTTTTGCTGGGTTGATGGTAAGCATTTTATTGATAAGGTCTTTTGCTTCAGGAGTCACTGTATCCCATTCTGGTGAGGGAAACTTAAGAAAAAATATATGTGTGTACATCATCTTCTACAATCTCTACACAATTTTACCTAAGGATTTTTACTGATACTATTTCTGTATATTTGAAAAGTTTGAATTAGCCAGTTTTATAAATAATGTTTTTCTCTGTTATTATTTTGACTTTTATTTGGTTCAAATGCACAGCATTTATATATTTACAATAACACAATGCAAACTGAAATTCATAGCATAAAATAACAATGGCAGAGAGAACAACAAATCCCATTCAACTGACAGGCACATGGTCAGCACTTAACACAGTCCTAGTTTCTCTTTTAATGAAGACAAAAATATTAAGCATTATTAGTCAAACTTCTTGTTTGCTTTCTTTCAATGTAAATCTTAACGCTAACTGTATTATATAAATTCTGGTATATAAATCTAAGTATAAAGTTGTGGTATATAAATCTAAGTAGTTATGAATTTAACACCTCCCTGTTCAGCAAAATATTTATACCTGCACTCAAAGCGCCCGTTCAAATGCAAATGGAAGGAAAAAACCCCATGTCTTCAACTGCTTTTGTGAACTGACCTTAACTTGAGGATTTTTTGTTTTCCACTATTAAAAATATTCATTACTGTAGGATGACTTACTCACTAGGAAGACGACTTGACGGACCGTAAGTTTACTTTCACTAAAAGGCCATAGCATAACAACTCCCTTTTCAGTCATCGCCCTCCAGGACTGGATTCAAATAAGAGCTTAAAAATGGTAAGGTTCTGTCTTTTCCTCTTCATCATTCACAAATTACTTAAATTTGAGGCCCAACAGCCTTCTGTCTGTTTAATATAATATACAGGAATGATGTTGCAAAATTCATCATGTCGCCAAATCTTCTGTTCTTACTCACCAACACTCATAATGCTTTTTGTTGGAACACACACAGCTAATGCAACCAATTCCTTTTGAAAAGCCTTATTAGCAGCTTGTTCTTCCAAAAGTGGGCAATACAACAGTATCACGGTGTATATTTAGGAAGCTTAAGACTTCTTAAAAACAATTTACAGTAACTGATTGGTTGAAGTGATAAACCACAAGGAAAAGCACAGGCCCTTGGGAGTTCACAGAGGTCTCAACAGGTTTGTCAGGACAACATGAGCTTGCATAACTTATACACGGACCAGACAATGAAAGCTTGGAGCTGCAGGGAAATTAGATTTAAATTAGCATAGGATGTTCCTGTCCTAATAAGGTTCATGTTACTAAAGTGACATTTACTATATTGAGTGGATCAAAAAGATAACCAATAAAAAAAACAACCCTAAGAAATAATTCTAATTCCACTTTTCACTCTAGAAAACTCCTATTTAGAGGTACAATTATAAATAATTGAATAGACATAGTATAGCACGTACATCATAAGCACCAGCCTTGATCTGCTGGTAAAGCCTGTGCTGGTCTTCATCCCAGAAAGGAGGATATCCCACCAGGAGGATATACAGAATGACACCTGTAGAAAATTCCCAGTAGTAAGTAATTTCAAGAAACAAACCGCAGAAATTCATTTTACACCTGACAACCATGCAAAACAAATGGCTCAGCAGTATTATCCCAGCTATCCCAAACACTGCCTGTTCATACTGGAGAAGATAGTAAATGTAGGGTTCACAAGATAAACCCCTATGCAGAGTGCGGGCAGTAATGAATATCTGACACAACATCAGATCAGGTACACTGAAAATGTCTAGCTAGCTGGCGAAAAAAATTGCAGTCATCATGGATGTTCTAGGAAAACACATTTTTTACCTCTGGTTTTATCATGGCTTGTACTGGTGTCTGTAAGATTGTGTTTTAACTTATCTCATGCAAACAAAAGTTAGGCAACTCAATTTATCTGTGTAAGTAGATGGTCAATAGGAAATTAAAACATCCATCTGCTAGTCTTACAGAGATGATTCACTCTGACTAAAGAAAAGTGCTTACATAAATACAACCAAATAAGTGTGGGTAGAAGTAAAATAATGTCTTTTCATACTTTGTGAAAGTGTGTTGTGTAGACATGGCCAAGAATGCCATGGTAACACACCTTCACTAATAATGATTAGTAGCAGCAGTTGTAATAATAATAGTGATAATGAAGCCAGTAGAGTAACAAAAAATCCTATGACCTTTTCTGAAAATTAATACTGACTTCTACTACATATGATCTGATGCAGAATGTAATGTATTCTGGATGTCATCTCTCTCCCTCAAAATACTTTACGGTAGACTGAACATCGTTTTTCAGAATAATTTCTTACCACATGCCCACATATCCACAGGTTTTCCATAAGGATCTTTTCGTAACACCTCTGGAGAAAGGTATCCTGGAGTACCAGCAAAGCCTGTCAAAAGGCAAGGCAAGTATTCTCAAAAGCTGTACGTGCTCTACAAGAATCAAGTGATTCTAACCTCAGCCCACAAGACACAGGACATTATTTCCCAAGCCATCGACCACTAACCACTTCATTTTGAACTTTTTATGGCGAATCACCTCGAATTAACAACAATGGGAACACTTAGGCAGCCTTGGCACATCCCTTTCTGCTACCACGTCCGGTAGAGTTGAGAGGACGGCAAAAAGCCGGCCAGTTATCCATCTACACTAGCACTCCAGATTTAACAGCGGTGTCAGGGATCTGGTGACAGCGCAACAGGGGAAGGTTTCCAGAAAGATTACGAGATAGCTGACGAAATTTCTTTCGTGACTTCTGCATTACTGTAAGCTGTAGCGAGACATCCAGTAGGAAGGTGCAAAGACATTTGGCTCAGGTACAAGGTGAAAAAAGTTAGAGTAGGAAGAGTGTGGGAAACATTATCCAAGTGATCCCCTTGGAGATACTAAGTGAAAGACAGAAAATGCACACCACGCATGCCAAAGACTGTTACTGGGTTGTTTTTTTTAATCATTAGTCTAATTCAGACTATTTTAAAATAGCCCCAAACTATACAAATTAAGACTGTAAACATGATTTGCATGGGATTTCAGGGAGTCCATCAATTGTCAGCTGTAAAGTCTGTTATCACCCACAGAGTAGTTCCACTGGCGTTTATGGGGAACTAATTAACAAAACAGAGGGGCAGCTAAGCTACAGCATCGTAACTTGCAAGGAGCATTTAAAGAGATGTAAGCAAAGCTTACGTATGGCGAGATCTCTGATTCGGAAGGAAAAAAGAAAGTAAAAACACTGTTCAAATTTCTTCACACAGAAGTGGGAACTCAATTCAGCCAGTGTCAGACGGCGGCAAAGTAAATGTGCAGAGACGTTCAGGATGCGCGTTCACAAGAGCACCACTGCCTACTGCTCAGTATGAAGGCCACCGGCTTCGGGGTCAGTCTTCTTACAGCCTTTGCTGTTCCTATTTCACACAGCTACTTCTAACAGGAACTTTCCACTGCAAAACACGTTTCTGCAACGTCATTCCGCTTCTGGAAGCCTCCTTACAAAAGTTCACAAAAAGCACCTCTGAAGTAATCCAGCCTTTCAAATTTCCATGTTCTTCATTCTTTATTCATTACTAGCAGTGCTGCCTTCTCTTAGGAGAAATGCAAAACGTAGGTGTAAATGTAGACTTTTTCAGGACACCGCAACTGATAAAAACTTAACAGCCAATAACATTCTGTACCATTTCAGTTAGTATGTCTGTTCTTTCAAGCATCTTTGCCTAAAATAAATGCTTGGCAATTCTGGAAAGATGAGAATTTGGTGGCTTCCATGAAGGACCGTATGTTATTTCTGAAATACCACACTGGATTCCACAGAACATATGAGAGAGAGTGATAAATGTAAAAACTGGACAGCTACAGAAAAAGGAAGCCTTTGCCCTGCGGCTGGCAATCATTTTAGGGTGAGAGGAGGAAATGAAGGATCACATTCTGTATATTCTGCTGAGAACATAGTTAAAATATTTTCATGAAAAATAAGCTTGTTTTTTGCAGTCTCCTGACATGAGAGCTATGAATTGTTAGAGAGTACTATCATACAGGAAACACATCTTAAGCTCCTTTGAGAAGCTGAAAAATATATGTTCTAAGTAGCTTTAAATAGAGCGATGTTTCATATCCCTTCTTGGTTGTAGTGCTCTACATTAGTATTTTTGTTCATTTTAAAGGGGAAGTAAAGTTGTCTCAACTTTCAAACTTACTATAGCTCCATAAACATTACTATGCATCACTTGAAGATAAACTTTAAAGCAAAAGTAACTATAGTACTCCGCTAACTCCACCTCCTGATGAAGATACAGAATAGGTCTAAACAGAAATAACTGGTATAGTTTTAGTACATATTGCGAAGTTGTTTAAAACAGCAAACACAGAAAAGCACACAGTCATGATTTCAGTGAAAAAGAAAAAACGTACTGAAATTCTTAACTGTTATTTTATCAGGTAATTCTATAACTGGTCAGAGGGATCCCAATATGAGCGTGTACTTTTCAGGAAACTGTTGCTAACAGTAGTCATCACTTCAGCTAAAACAACTCGCAAAGCTGGAAACTGTTTGTGACTGTACAGCGCCTAGAAAAGGCTGCATGACTTTGTACTCCTATCATCGTATCATTTAAGTATCCAGAGGCCCAAGAGAAATGCTGTGCTTTGCAGTGCGGTGCATGGGTACATGAGATGGCATATTACTCAGCCTCAATAGCTTACAGTCCCAAACCCCTCTTATGCAAAGATTACGTACATACTTGATAACTGGTGAGCACGTCTCTTGAGTCTGGGTTGAAGGTTAACTATAATCCCACCATATAGACTTAAATTAATGCAGAGAGATGCTTCTTAAGCACACAGCAGAAGAGATTACTGCTCTAAGATCTTCCCAGTGCTCTCACAGAATCATTAAGGTTGGAAAAGACCTTAAAGATCATCAAGTCCAACCGTCAACGCAACACCACCATGCCCACTAAACCATGTCCCCAAGTGCCACGTCTACATGTGTTTTTGAACGCTTCCAGTGACGGTGACTCCACCACCTCCCTGGGCAGCCTGTTCCAATGCTTGACCCCTCTCTCAGTAAAGACATTTTTCCTAATATCCAATCTAAACCTCCCCTGGCGCAACTTGAGGCCATTTCCTCTCGTCCTATCGCTAGTTACTTGGGAGAAGAGACAAACTCCCACCTCGCCACAACCCCCTTTCAGGTAGTTGTAGAGAGCGATGAGGGCTCCCCTCAGCCTCCTCTTCTCCAGACTAAACAACCCCAGTTCCCTCAGCCGCTCCTCAGAAGACTTGTGCTCCAGACCCCTCACCAGCTCCGTTGCCCTTCTCTGGACACGCTCCAGCACCTCAGCATCCTTCTTGTAGTGAGGGGCCCAAAACTGAACAGGGGATTCAAGGTGAGGCCTCAGCAGTGCCGAGTACAGGGGCACAATCACTTCCCTACTCCTGCTGGCCCCACTATTTCATCACCCTCCCGCTAGACTTACGGCCTCTCAGCACCACTCATGCAAGCATTCCAAAATAAAATGGCAGAATAAACCGTGTCAGTTTGAACAGCCTAGGTTGTAGATCTTTGCTAACATACCTCCCTTTGACTCAAGAATAAACATTCAGATGAGCAGTGCGGTGAGAAGATACGGCGAAGGTGGCAGCCAAGGGGCGAGAGCAAGTAGCTGAGAGTAAGTACAGGGCAGTAGCCTTCTCCTCCCGCACAGCTGGATCCAAAAGACTAACTGTACGCAACCTAAATTTAACGCGACTAGCAAACTAATTCAGTGAAGCTACTGAAATGACTTAAGTGGTGCATATTTTAGTCCTAGTTGCAGGGCTGGGCTTAATTTGAGATGCAACTAGGACTAAATCTAGCTACCAGAGTTAACTGCAGTCCTTCCGCTGACTTAGCGAGGGGCAACGCGTCACCTGCCTGCTGCTCTCCCAGTACATTACACACCTGCTAGCAGGGTGGGGTGTTTGAAGTAAATCCTCTAACGTTTTCTACAAACAGGCAAGGAACAGGTTTGTTTTACGAACACGCAAACCAGGAAACTATCCCCCTGTTGTGTCCAAAGACACACAGCTCTTAGCTGGTTTCCTGCTG